AACTGATAAAGCAATTACTTGGTATGATATTAATTATCATAATAGTATTTACTTGGTGCAAAAATATTTTAAATGATAAAGCAATTTCTGGGTGAATTTTCGTCAAACTTCATAATCAAGCTTTTTCTAACACATTAAGCTCAAATATACTATAACAGAAAAATCAGTAATCACTTAAAATTCAACATGTTAACAGTTATGAACTAGGGGAATTTTGAGTTTGTACCCCACTTTTTGACTGATATTGGACTTTGAACCCTATTTTCAAAACTCTTAGACTTTGCACCCTATCTACAAAATTTTGTGAAGAAAATTTCCTCAATGGGGTGCAAAGCCAAAGGCATTTTAGAGGAAATGGGGTGCAAAGTCTAAGAGTTTTGAAAGTGGGGTGCAAAGTCCAATATCACCTAAAAAGTGGGGTGCAAAGTCAAAATACCCCTAAATCAACATCAACAAGTGCAAAATAATCATTTATGAGTATGAACTAATCAACATTTTAAAATAAACTAATCATTTATCAACATTCAAAACTTATAAACTAATGATAAAATCAATCAAATGATTCAAATACTAAATAAAAGGCTAAAAGAATTAAAGAGGAGTTGAATAGACGGAGTACCAGTATGTTATTTCTGCAATGAAAAAAATTATACAGTTCGATGCAGACCTACACGCTGAAGGGTTGATGCAGGAACTTAAAATCAAATCATGTAAACAGAAATCAAAGAAAGGAGACTTAGCTTCAAACGTCCACAAATCGGGTGGCCAACCAACAACAATCTGCTCAGACAGAACTCCGGTTGAAGACCTCTCAATCAGCAACAGTCATGCAAGACCCGGTCCAGTGATGAACCTAAAAGCAACATCCAACCCCCAACAAAACATGGAAACACGAGAACTCAAAGTAAATCAAACTCACACGGAGTCATCTTTGCGAAATCCTAGGCCTTGACGAACAAAAAGAATACCAGCGACCCAAAAGCGAACCACCTCAGCGAACAACTCAGGCATGCGCAGCGACAGAAACTTCCAAATCAGCCCGACTAGAGAAATCGGCGAGCAAGGACGGACAGAAGCACGGATCGGTTTAACTCTCTTACAACCCAACGAAGAAAGCTTCATCCCATTCTGGGAGGCAGGCTGAATCACGAATCTTTGACACCCAGCTCTCAACCCTCTCCCTTCTCTCTCTTTAGAACATCCTGATTGATAATAGACCAATATTCATTCGGGTTTTGCCGTTTTGTTCTTGGGCCGCAGCTGGCCCACATTTTTATTTTAAATTGGGGCAAGACATTAAGAGCCCATTTGGTAACACAGAAATAAGTTGATTCGACTGATTCTGCTGAAATCTATGAAATTCTGGCTGAAGTGCCTGCATTGGCTGATTCTGCTGAGTTAAAAAAAATTATTTTTAAAATATATCTATTAATAAAATAAAAAAAATAATATGTAAAAATAGCTATAATGGTCATCTACAGTAACTTCAGTCAATACAGTCAGAAAAATATCTTTAACCATATTTTTCCTATTATTACACAATACGGCATGCGAAAACAGAAGTTACGAGTTTAGTGAAAAAGTTGGCTGATAAGCCGACAAATAGTGTTACCAAACGCCCTCTAAGCCATTCCAAGCTTATGTTGTACTATGTATATTACGGTGTACTTCTGACAGAGTATTATTTTATAAAATCTATCTATCTACCTATTCTATTATTATAATATAAAAGCAAACGAAATTTGAGGAATAGTGCTCCCGCCTAGAAGTGCAACATCAAAACTTATTAAAATACAACAATAGAATTATTGTGTAAAGATATTGGTTGGTGCATTCTTATTGGTTGGAAAAAGAGGGAGTTGCTGTTGACAAGAAAAAAGGTGGTTCGAAGGGTGTGAAATTGTTGTGTGCAGGGTTTAAAATAATTGCAAAACATATGTTGTATAGAGAATTTTGTTCACTCGAGAAATTAAAATATGAAGTTCCGAAGTTGATGAGTTAGTGCATATGTTAAAATAAAAGATGTTCAGTTAGTGCACTCGAGAAATTGAAATATCAAGTAGCCGATAACATCATTTGGTTGAGATCGCAGTTCACATTTAGATTTTGATTCGGTTTTTCCCTCCCTTAGACGGAGTATTTAGGGGGTGTTTGGATCTAATTCTTAAAATTGCTTCTGCTCCATGGAGCAGAAGCACAAGTTTGAGTATTTGGGTGAAAGTGCATAAGTACTTTTGGTGCTCTAATTTACTCTGAAAAGTAGTTCTTTAGAAGTTGGGGGAGAACAGCTTCTGAAAATTGATCCTGATTATGTTTCTGTTTTAGAAAGAAACAGGAGCAGAATTAGTTTCAAACAACCCCTTATACATATTTGAAAATACTCACCCACTGTGTATCACACGTTTGTTTTATGCATGTTTCTTTGCCGAGTGTTGGTTTGTTGTTGAAAAAACTATTATTAGTCATGGTCATCTTTACATGGTTTTGTCAAGAGTAAGCAACCACTAAACCTAAAAAATGACACTGCACACAAACGATGACATGAGAATAAAATGTGAAACCGAGAATTTTTTGTATAAATAAGCTTTTCATAAAGTCAAGCAAAGAATGTGATTTGTTTTCAAATTATATTTGTATTGAGTGTTACTATTTTGTTAGACTATACACATTGTGCTATTCCACAATCATTGATACTCCGTAAATCGTATTGAATACATTTCATTTTACATCAAACTTGATTATTGTGTGTGTTTCTTTTCTAATTTGAGTAAAAATTCGCCCTTTAAATTTCACCAACCGAGCACCGCACTAGAGTTGTACTTATTTTTGAATTAATAACTATTATAGATTCTACCTACTGAATGTGTTTCGAAAGTTATTGTGCTTAAATGATAGCATTACTTTTCATATACGGACTCAGCTAACATTTTCTCACAAATTCATATTTAAGTATTGTTTAATAATGCCATAATACACTTTCACATATTTGCACCCCCTGATTTGCCAATTTACCCGGGCAATTCGTGTAAATAGTGCAATTCGTATAAATGCATAGTCAACATATTACTTGAGATGTTTATACTTGGACTTATTTCAGTCTCAGACCAACCCAAACTTAAACAAATCAGACCAGACCATACTTAGATATTAGAAATAGTAGAAGCATTCGTTATTGGCAGAGTCTACTATGTTCATCTCGATAGCGGTGAATCTTATTACATTAGGTGTCTTTTGAATCACATTTGTGGTGTAACGAGTCATGAGGATTTGAAAACATTAAATGATGTTACTTATGATTCTTTTTTGATGCGTGATATGCGTTAGGATTGCTCGACGATGGTAGAGAATTCATTGATGCTTTGAGTGAGGCAAGTCATTTCTCATATGCCTATTGTTTGAGGATTCTATTTGTGATATTGTTGTGGACATAGTCGGTGGCTAGACCGGAGTATATTTGGGAAAAATACGAACATGGCCATCATTAATTTCGGGATAGTAATACTATAGCTGCGATTGTTGAAAGCATATTTCCGGAATATGTTAAATCTGCAGGTGATATGAGTTGTTTGTGCGACCGTGCAATTTTGACACTGACATTGGGTGTGTTGATGACTATATGACGGCTCTTAATGTTGGTGAAGTTTCAAGAACATATTTTAGTTTTGACAGTGTTTCTAAGGTAGATTATACGACCAATCTAATGGCGGAACTGCACACTTGAGTTCTTGAATAGTACAAAATTGTTCGATGTACTGAATCATGAGTTAACGTTAAAGGTAGGGACCCCAATGATGCTTTTGCAAAATATTGATCATTCAAGCGGGTTGTGTAACGGGACACATCTTATTCTAACGAGGCTTGGTGATCATATTTTGGAGGGGAAGATTTTAACCGGTGTGAGTGTTGGACAAAAAGTATTAATTCCTAGATTATCCTTGATGCCATCTGATGCAAGCTTGCCTTTTAAATTTCATAGGCGATAATATTATGTTATGACTTCATATGCTATGATTATAAACTAAAGTCAAGGTCAATCTTTGTCCCGTATTGGGTTGTTGTTGAAAAAATCGGTATTTACCCACGGACAGTTGTATGTTGCAGTATCAAGGGTTACCAATAATCGTTGGCTTGAAAATTCTAATTGTTAATGAAGATAAAGGAACCACTGACAAGACTCAGAATGTTGTGTTCAAAGAAGTGTTCAACAATGTTTAGGTTTACATTAAATGCATATTTACAATGTTATGGTTTCAACTTATTTGTTGGATGTTTTTTATATTTTAAGTAATGCTTAGTACATTCATTTTGACCATAATATTATAAGTGTGTTTCGTTTAGTGCTTTGATGTATATCAGTATTACATGAAGATAAATGCTATCATGAATTGATAGTGTGACTTGAATTACTAAGCACAAATATATTTGAAAGTAAAATTCTGAGACCGTGCATCGCACGGGTGAGTTTACTAGTATCCAACAAATAATACGGGGAGTATATCCAATTAGGACCGATGTGATAGGACAAATCAATATGATGACTCCTAAATGAATAGTCAACATCAATATTGAATGGGAACCAAAATGACTGGTCAAAGATTTTGAAAAGTCTAGATTTGCCAATATTTTTTTTAATCTCAGATTTCAACGTAAATTTGGTCCCAAAATAAACCCAACTCCATATTGGGAAGTGCGAAAGGATAACTGGCCCGTCTGGCCATGTCTGCCTTTAATATCTTTGGGCCACGTGACAGCATTACTGTCTGGCGCCCCACAAATCTAACCCATATTTTATCCGACCCAGTTTTTGCCCAAAACATTTGGGCGGGAAAATCATCCACTTTTCCACCTCTTTTTATATAGAGGTAGATGTGGTGGCTTCTCTTACCTATTATTGTCTCCTTTTTTTTTGGATGAAATGTAAATATATATTAACACCCAGAAAAACTATACATCAAGATCTCCTACCCCCACCCCCACATAGTGTGAGGGTGAGAAGAGGTTTTTCTTTGATCTACTCCATGCCAAAATAACCAAGTATAATTACTCGGCCCATCAGAATATAACTCAAAAATACATCGGTGCCGCACATGCAAGCACACAAATCAAAGGCTAAAATCTAAGAATTACACAGGTGTTGCAAGAAACAAACACCCAAAAACCATCAAGGATCTGGTTTATGCCGCGGCATAACTAGAGTCCATGCCTTGATCTTCTAAGTTCGGAATCCAGTCCTGGACGCTTCTCCATGCCACAAGATCGATAAACATACATGCCGTGTAGTAGTAGAGTCCCTAGGCCGCGACATCCATAATGTCCATGCCGCGGCATATGTGTAACATGGAGCCACGTCTAAGCAGCAAACCATGTCCATACCGGCAGTCTTCTATGCACCATGGCTCCCAAAAATTACTTTATGTCCACTTCTAAAAACAAACCAACTCATGCGGGTAGATACTGAAAAGGATCTTGTACACCACATGTTTGATCTTCATTATAATATCTTCTTCGGTCTTCTTGCCATCATCAAATCTGATTACATTCCGTGCATGCCAAATGTAGTAGACAGTTGCACAAAATGCAATTCGAGCTGCCTTAGCCTTCAACTTCGAACCTTTGTGAGTCTTTGTGATCCATTTGACTGCGCTAAGCATTGTCGTCATCTCATGCCGTAGTCCCATCCAGTTCCGGATATGCTGCCATACCTTACAAGTAAAGGGGCAAAGGAAAAAAAGGTGTGGTATTGTCTCCAAACCACCCTTGCATAAGTCACACCGGTTCACAATATGGAGATACCCGAGGCTATCCTGCGTAGGAAGCCGATTTCTCAAAGCCAACCATACATTGAACGAGAATTTTTGGGGGATGTAGGATTTCCATATGAAACTCATAGGTGTCCTAGCTCCACCCTTAACTCTCAACAGCTCATAAACCTTAGCGGAGGCTAATTTACCATTCGTGGCGCGAGAACTAAGTCCCAAAATCATATCATTGTGGTTATTAAAACCAGACCGAATCCTGTCCCGAATGAGACTCAACCGCTTCATTAGCTGTGAGTCTCGGGTGTGTGGGACAAAGTCCCACACGGTTCTACCCTTAAGATAGACACCGTTCACCCACCTCACCCAAAGGGTGTCTTTCTTCATGTGGACGTCCCAAAGGGTGCGAGAGAGGAGGGCATGATTCCACACCTTGGCATTAAGAATGCCAAGACCCCCCTTCCTCTTTAGGAAGACAAATGTCATCCCAAGCCACCTTGGCAAACTTACCACCCCAAAGAAAAATACGGCAAATCGAGATAATTCTATCTAAAATAGTTTGAGGGACGGGGAAGACATGGAGCCAGAACGACTGGACCCCTTGGATCACTGATCGGATTAGCTCAATTTTGCCAGCATAGGACAACGTTTTGGTATTCCATGCCTTTAAAAAATCATTGACCGTGTCAAGTAAGGGGGCATATTGTGCAACCGAGATCTTAAGTGGGGCAAGAGGTATTCCAAGGTATCTTACCGGAAATAGTCGAAATACGCCTTGCCCATAATCAACAATATCCAGAATATTTTGAAGTTCTTGGTCCCTCACCCCACCCACGAAAATATTAGATTTCCCGTGGTTCACTCTAAGGCTCGATACGTCCCCAAATTCTTTGAGAGCGTTGACCAATATTTCTACGGAATATGTGTCACCTCTCGAAAAGAGCATAAGGTCATCCGCATAGGCCAAATGAGTGATGCCCAAAGAAGAGCATTGGGGGTGGAAATTGAAGTTATCTCTTTTGGTTCTCACTGTGAGTAATCGAGAGAAGTATTCAAGACATAAAACAAAAAGCAATGGGGACATCGGATCCCCCTGTCGTATTCCTCTTTTTCCTTTAAAGAAGCCATACAACGACCCGTTTAAGGAAACCGAGAACGATGCCGTTGATATACATTCCATAATCCATGCAACAAAACGATTCGGGAAGCCCAAACCCATTAGGACTTTTTCAAGAAAATCCCAAGATATCGTATCGTAGGCCTTGTGCAAATCCACCATAATCATACATCTTGGCGAAATTCGCTTCCTATTGTATCATCTAACAAGTTCCTGGGCTAGGAAGATGTTATCAAACATTAGGCGACCATCCACAAATGCTCCTTGGGCTTGATTAACCAACCCCGAAAGGCACGGGGTTAATCTAGCCGCAATAATTTTGGTAATGACTTTATACAAAACATTCGTGCAAGAAATGGGTCGATAGTCCGAGACTTTTGGGGAGTGGCTGGTCTTAGGGATTAATGCTATAACAGTATGATTGATCTGTTTGAGCAATTTTCCCGTTCGAAAGAACTCCTTAATAGCCCGTACCATGTCATCCCCAACAATACTCCAGTTGGCTTTAAAGAAAGCCGAGGAGAACCTGTCAGGTCCAGGTGCCTTATCATCCCCTATATCAAACAAGGCATCTTTAATTTCCTTGTCAGTTATCGGAGCAAGAAGGCCGTCATGAACGCATGGTTCAATCAGAGGACCAGTACCTAAAACCGAGTGGTCTAGGTCAAGGGTATCCACTTGCGTTCCAAATAAATCAACAAAAAAGTTTACAAATACATCACCCACATCATCTAAAGACTTAGTAAAGCTTCCGTCTTCAAGCATAACCGAGGAGATAGTGTTTCTGGCAGCGTTCCTCTTTACAATTGCATGGAAGTAGCGTGTGCCCTTGTCCGCTTCCAGAATGTGCGTGGCTTTGGCCCGTTGTTGAAAGAAACATGTTTCAGCCTCCCCCAAAAAGGTTGCTTTTTTCCTAGCCACCATCAACTGCACTTTAAGTTCTTCATCCATCGGCGATTCCATCATGAGTTTGTTTAGTCTTTTAAATTCCTCCTTAGCCAGTTTTGCTTTTATGGAGATATGCCCGAACTCCAATTCATTAAGCTTCTTTAAAGGTGCCTTTAGCGCCTTAAGTCGCTTAATAAACGAGTATTGCATGAGCTGTACCATCAACAGAAACCAACCAATTCTGCAAGACAATATTAGCAAATTCCGGATGCTTAATCCACATATTAAAAAATTTAAAAGGTTTCGGCCTAAGAGAAGAGTTTATGAGTATTGATGTTACGGAAGCCGTATGATCAAACTCTGCCTCCATTTCATTGAAATGGGCCTTACACACAATCCCTTTTTGTTCCCAAACCTCATTGAAGAGGACTCTATCAAGCTTAGCCCATAAAGAGCCCCTATTCCACGTGAAAAATTCTCCCGTGGATGGGGCATCCTCAAGGTTAGCCACGATTTTAAAATTAGCCAGGTCCTGCATCATATAAGCCACGGGTGGGGTGGACCCCAATCTCTCATTAGGAGCGCAAACACAATTAAAATCACCCAAAACTAACCACGGTTCCGTAAACCGGCTACCTAAATTAGCAAGATAATCCCATAAAAGTTTGCGCTCCAAGACAGTATAGAGTGGATAAACAAAAGTCACAAAGAAAGATAACTGAGATATACGGCAAATATGTTCAAAATTATTTGCACATAGCACATGCTGAGTATCAATGTCACTTACCACACAGTTCAAAAAATTCGTATTCCACAGAACCACAATTCGGCCGCCTGTTATATGTTCAAAATTATTTGCACATAGCCAGCCAGGCCATTTATTAGTAACATATTTTTTTAAATTTTCTTTTGTCATTTTTGTTTCCAAAAAACAACATAAGTTAACCTTATTAATTTTAATAAAATTGCTAATAATATTATGTTTAGAGGCTTTATTTAAACCTCTTACATTCCAAGAAGCAATCTTAATCATCAAGATAAGTAGAGGTTCGAGGAATGGTTCTCATCCCCGGGGTCATCTTTCTCACCATCTTGTAATTTTTCAGCCTGCCTTTTCCTTCGAAGCTTCTCCTTTAGGTACTTAATATTCCTGGCAAGGTTAGCATTGAAGAAGTTCATAACATTAGGGGTGAAAACATTAGTAGGAAATTCATACCAGTCGCCTTTCTTTTTCACACCCGGGTATGACAGGATGAAGGACTCGGTGAAGGTAACCCCTGGATCCTCATCCTTCACTTTTTGGAGTTGAAAACCCACCCTAACCGTAGTTACTCCAACTGGCAGCAGGTCTGGCGAGCATACACACGCCATTCTTTTGCCATTTCCATCAGTGCCCACCTTGGTAACAATGTCCCCTTCAGCCATATCATGCATGTTGCGAATGAGGGAGCCCAGTTCATCAGTTTGCACTACTTTACTACCTTGCAGTGCTGCCTTTCCATTCGGTCCAGGCAGTTCACCAGTTGGCTCATTTGGAAACAATTGAGAGGAGCTCGGCACATCCAAAGCTAAATGATCCAAAGCTCTTAGGAAATCCACGTTTTGCTTAGCCTGGATATCAAAGAAAGAAGCTACATTAAGGAAAAAAACTTCTTTATTAAAGGCATACCAATTGAACGTTCGCTTCACCCCAGGCAAGGAAACCAAGCATGGGTCAGTGAAGGAGATGGCCGATATATCCAGGTTGTCTTCTCTTTGGAGGTTTGTTCCCAGCCTAGCAATACAAATGTAGCTCTTGATTTGGTGCCTCTTTTTGACATACGCCACGTGCACACCATCTTTGTTGGTTTCAAAGTGTGTAACAATATCATCAGCTTCTAGCTCATACACACTCAGAATCTTTCGGCCTTCCCATACAAGTTCCTCCCAGTCACCATCTTGCTCCTGCTCCATAGTTGCAGCCGGGATAGCAAAAGTGGCTGGCAGTTTAAACAGTTCTGGCTTAGCAATGCTCCCCTGCGCCGGTGGTACCCAGTTTTGCCCTCGGGCAGTAGGGTTCTTACCTTTCACCCTGGCATTGGCATCCACCTTGTTTTTTTCCTTTGGAGGATTCAGTTTTAAGCAATTGAAAGGGTGATGGCCGTACATCTTGCAATTGTAGCAGTAGTCCGGGTAAGATTCACCTATTATTGTCTCCTATGTTTACATGTGGTTGTCGCATTTATCATTCCATCATGTGCACTTATTCTTTATTGCTATCATAGTTGCGTGAGATTATTTCGCATTTTGGTGACTAATCCTATTTTATTACCATTATTTCGGCTTTGCACCTTTCCTGCACTTGTTTTCTCAATTGTGAGATTGTTGGGCCGCATCAACTGGTTTGTACTCGCTTGTGATTCTTTCTTTTTGTCGCATACTATTTATTTACGATCTTTCTAAATTTCAAAGTGCCCACACACGTCTTTAATTTGATCTGTTTCGGTCTCAATGTGATTGCGTTAATTCCTTCTTTTATTTTGTTTTCCTGCTTATTTATTACTACCTCCGTTCTTAAATAAGTGCAACATACCAAATTTTACACTATTCACATGGTCTACTTTGATTACATTTTATTCATTGAATTAATATATTTTTTTTGAAAAAAATATTACTAAATTTGTCTCATTGTATATTTTCAAAATCTGATTTTTTATTTTTTTTACTAATAAAGAGTTATATATATTAATGGTCAAAGTTGTGCCTCGACAAATGCGAAATGTTGACCGTTGCACTTATTTAAGAACGGAGGAAGTATTATTTTTTGTGAAATTCCTTGTGGTGCACAATGTAGCGTTCGCTACACTAGCGGTTTTTTTCCATGTTAGAAAAATAGTATTATAATTGCGAGTTTAACCAGATAAAAATCCCGAGTTTACACAAATCACCAGACAAACCGCCAAATGCAAGAATAGAAAAAATAATAATAATAATTAGAATAAATTAAATTGAATGAAGAAAAAAGGATAAGAAAACTTATCGCAGGATCGCCCGTAAAAATGGAACTGGCCTTGAAGAAAGATAGCCCCCGTATCCCGATAGCTATTCGGACGGGTCTGGCTAGCTCGCTCCCAGAATAATCCTACCACGTTTCAGGCGTATATCTACCTTGACTGAAACCTTTGATCGTTGCCAAATTTACCGATTAGAGAGTAGAGTTGAACAAGAAGTATAATATTTAAATTATACGTGCTCTTGGAATGGAAAAGCTAGTGGAGTAAAGACCCACTCAAATAAAAAAATGATTTACGTATGATGATCTTAAGAGAATGGTAGAGCAAGTGAGTGTTTTTTCTTTTGTTCGTAGTATATACTATCGTATTAAGGAGTGGCCGAGTAGGTCTCCTTATAATACTGTAGTTTTTAATCAGATTTTTAAAAACATGCAACGGGTCTCCTACTCTTGATGATGATAATAATAAAGAAGCAGCAAGGATTGTTCTGAAACGGAAATCAAATAGCCATTAAAACTTGAGAATTGAATGGCTAAAAACTGATCGGTCCACATTAAGCATCATCAACAGCATTAAGAATACTTATTTGAATTTGAATTCAAATTGACTAATTGACAATTTGTTCAGCTATTTCATTCTCCACTTTGGACTGTTCAATTTTATTATTAACAAAATAATAAAACTGCTTTTGCTCTAATGAACAATGTTCCTTATCACATAATGATTATAAATAATGATACGATCGAGACCGTTTATCGTCTAATACGGAACAAATATATTCATTATTTCAATACATCACTTTACAATCTTTACAACTATGGATTCTAATTATAATTTAAATCCAAATATGTAAGTTGTCCTTTGATGTATTATCAGCCACATCTCCATATTTAATATAATTATGTCTTAGGATACAAAAGTGTGATCCTCATAAATATAATATTTATATCATCATATTTCCAACAATCTCCCACAAATCCATAGTTGTAGACTCAACTCTAAGACATATAGTGCTTTCGAATATGGTACCTTCCGGATTGAACCAAGTTCTAAGCTTTTACCCCTAACCCCCATAGGAACTGAGTGAACAGAGTTCTTGAACTCGAACCTTGATTGTGTTGGCGTGGGATAAAAGCAACACACTAACGGCATTGGCAACGATCTATAGGGTTGACGCTTTACGGCCATGCGTCCTGATCCTGTCTCAAGAATGTCGTCGAGAATTAACCCTTATTCTCTTATTGCGGCCACACAATAACATTCTCATAGTTGGGCATCTCCAAGAGTGTATTGCTAACACTCTGCTATTAAAGCTCGATCCCATTCAGAGTCTTAAACTCTTTTTAACTTTTCAATTTCAGCATCTCTAAGGTTTTTCAAGGAATGGAACTCGTAAAATTATTTTAATGAGATGCACAATTCACTGTAAGTTTATACCAATATTCTTGTGATGGTATTTTGTGATGCGTATAAACCTAAATGAAAAGCTTGCTTTCTGCACACATGTTAATAGACATAAGTTTAATCAAGTGAGCAATATATACAAGCAAAGTATGATGTCTCAAGATTAAACTAATAAGTTAAAAAGGTACGGAGTAATTTCTTATAAGTTGTCCGGGGACTAACCCAGACGCCCTACTTGGCCTAGTTCAGCCATCAAACCAAAAATATAAGGGCGGAAGACATGTGGATATGATCCATTTTACTCGCAAATATCAAGACCCAATGTCCTCCTCACGGCCCACTTGGTTTGGTAATAAGTGGTCACTACTTGTGACAAGAGATACCTAGACTGGAAGCAAATAATATCAGGTTACTTAAGCAAATGACGCTGGTTACTTGGAAAATAGTTGAGAATAATTTACTTGGAAAATAGTGATTGGCTAAATAAAAAGGGACGGAGTAAGTACTTTTTTATTTTACGTGAGGGTAATAATTTTTTCAAAGAGGAGCATATAGTTCATGGTAGTCTTGGACCCGGTTCGGGCCACCCGACCCGTGAACCGGCCCGGCCCGCTACTGTGCGGCCCGTACCGCCCTGTTCCTTCGGTCCCAAAACCGGGCTTTGACCCGAACCGGTAGGAATAACGGGGCCAGTCTCGGGTACGGCCAATGGTTACCCGGACGGGCCCGGGTCGGGTCTAACGGTCAATTTTTTTTAAAAAAAAAATAAATGCAGCCAAACAAGGACCTAGCCGTTGGGCAGGGCTCCGAAACGGCTATATAGCCGTTGGGTGGGGGAAAGGGGGGTCCTGGGCTTTTGGGGGGTGGGGGTGGGGTAAAAAAAAACTATAAATACTCCTATTTTTTTTACATTTTTCAACACCTCTTCTCC